TAGAAATCATGTGTCAAGTTCAGTGTGGTACTATTAAAGGCATCTTGAATTGAACATGCTTCTTGAGTTCTTAGTCATAGTCATTAAACTGCTCTTAAGGCGTTTCCAGCCTTTCTCTGCTTGCAAGGTTTTGTTCGCTTGAGGGTCTTGTAGATTTTGTGACTCAAGTAACGATTCTTCTTAACATGTGACATTTAGAAGTAAATATGGTACCATATATATCTGTGTGTATTTTTTTACACATGTATAAACTTTTGATAAAGGTTTGGCTTGACACCATTTGAAGAATAGCTTTTTCAAGGTACATTGGTGCTTATACTGGTTTTGCAACGCCTCGGACTTGCTTTGTTGCGGTTGAAAATGATGCCATAGGAAGTCCGCGGCAAGTTATTGCAATGATATGTGCGGCACTTGATGCAAAACATTTTGCTGAAAAGGTTTGCAGAATTATGTTATGGACATAAGATTTGCTGAAATACTAGATTCTTTTCACAATAAACATTTCACAATAAACAGCGATGTAGCTGGAGGATTATCTGTGCAATAGGCATGGAAATGCTTTGTTATACATGAAATAATGTTGCGTAACTGCAAGCACACAACGTATTTTTAGGTTCGAAGCCAGTATATTCCAAAAATGCATTCCAAATACAAGGTATATGCTGAAGCGGAGAAAGGGCATTCCGTATCTCACAGTGAAGAAATTGAACGTCAGGTAAATCAGAGTTTGCAGCTTCTCTCACTCCCAAATACATTCAGATTTTGTTGTGGTCTCGCCTTTCACCTATTCCTTCTTCTGAACCGCGAAAAGACTTTTTTTCTTTTTTTCCTATCTCTAAGTGGTGCAATTGGTTGAACCTTTATTTAGTTCTACATTCCTGTTAGTGGGGAGTGAGAGAAACTGGAAATAAATACAATATCTATGTAATTTTTTACACGAACTTTTAGATTTTGGTTGTCAGTTTGCCATCATGTTGGAAGATTGGATAAATTTGGTTTTTAACAACATTTTTTTTATTTAAGTGGCAGCGTCTACATGAAGATATTGCCAAGTGGGAGCCACCCAATCTTTCCGATTATTTCTACGAGCAGTTCCCGAGTCAGGTTGTTATGGATATATTTAATTTGTTCAATTTATAGGATTATAAAATTCATCTTTAGAGCATTTGGTAGTAAGGTCGCCCATGGATCATTTCAGAATATTTTGGAAAAAAATATGTTGTAGATTGATGTAAAATGTCACGATTTGTCACAAGATGCTGTGGTTTTTCGCAGATTGGTATGCATAACAGCTATCGCCTTATCCTATAATGGTGAGCTTGTAGCAAGTTCGTGTGTATTCGAGAATTCCAAATTATCATATGGGACGATATATGAAACATTTTCTTTGAAATATTAAAAAAAAATGTTTACGTTCTATATTGTTCTTAACGTTGGTATTATCAGTGATGATTTAGGTAATTAGAGGATGTAACCAGCAGTGGTGTTACGTCTTTAAGTAAATTTAGGATACACTGCTGTCAGTTACATTCTTTCCCTTTTCATTCATTCCTACACTATTCCAGTTTCTGTTATATATAATGAAAATTTTGATAATACATCACTACAATCTTTTTTACTCTCTCAAACGAGTTTCCTTTGTTCTTCGTTATCATATCTTCGGATGTTCAAAAACTCATATCTTTGTAACCTTCCACCCGAATTTTTTTTCTTAAAAAAAAATCTCTAAAATCTCCTCTTTGATTCTGTTATAGGATCGTCTGGATTTTTTTATGGTGCTGAATTCATCCGACAGCGAAAAAATTAACTTATGCTCAAGAATAGGTTTGATTACTTTGAAGGTAGGCCTGTTTCAATTTTTCATAATTACGCCTCATTTTCTGAGATGATGACTACACTGTTTTTTTATGGTCCTAATCCTCTTTAATGTAAATGCATTTTAGGAACAAAGTTAACGGCTTCTCGTTATCTAGAGTGATGCCTTTGAATTTCAGGAAGCGAGTGTTGCTGATGATATGATTTTGATGGGCCATTCTTTGTGAATGTCATTATCTTCTCATTAATTTTCTTTGTATCTTTTTTAATGTCTGTATCGCTCGATACTGCAGCTAAATTACTTTCTGTTCTCTACTGTTCATATCACAGTATCATGAGCTGCTTTTATTAGTTGCGTATTTTGTAGTTTCAAAACGAGGAAATAATTCCATTTACATTATGTCCCATCCGATGACTTACACTTATGTTGAGTATCTTGTTAGCTTGTCAGGGCGCATGCTTAACTTTCGTTAAATATTAGACTTTTTTAAAAATCATATAAATACATAACCACTGTTGTTTGTTGTTTTTAAAGATACCATTAATATAATAAATTCTGTTCCGTAATGATTTGTTGCAATTAAATGTTCTTTGTTCAGTTTTGTGAGCGGTGTAATTTTTGTTATGCAGTGTACCTGATTTGTTTTCATTGAATGAAGGGCGTTTCCCAATTCAGCTTTATGGTATTTTGAACTGTATAGTTAGAGAACACATGAGGTTGTAATTCAAGTGGGTCATTATCTAAAGTTTATTGATAGAATAGTTACAGACTTCATATCTTTTCTGGTTCACTGCACTGTTTAAGAACTATTGTATGCCTTTTGCATTCTTTTTTGTTATTTTGATTAATTCAGGACTGTGATTTGCCAAAGCGAATAAAGTTTGGTGACTTTTAAGCTTCATTTGCTTCATCTTATTTGAATTTGAAAAGATTGTCCAATTTGAGAGAGGCGAATAGGGCTGGCTGTTGCTGCGGACACTGAAGCAAAGTTATTTTATGGCTGACTGATTTAGATACTTGTCGAGATGGACAGAGGAGACAAAGTAGGGAGTAAGTTCTGCATACAGAGCTGGATAAGCTGAATGGGAGAGATAGCAAAGTGGAAGATTGCTGTATTTTCTGAAGTATCTTGCACAACGTGACGCTGGAATTGCAAGATTTTTCTTTATTTCTACCTCAAACTTGAGTAATTAAACTATTAGATAAAAGAAACAATATTAGCATAGCATAATCATTAATAATTACAAAATAGAACACGTAAAACAAATACATACTCCAAAAATCTTTCACAAGATAAATGTTGAAGACACGAATGT